CGGGCAACCACAAACGGCACCAGCTGGTCCACAGTGGGGAGAAACCCTACCAGTGCGACTACTGCGGGCGCTCCTTCTCTGATCCCACCTCTAAAATGCGGCACCTGGAGACCCACGACACCGACAAGGAGCACAAGTGTCCCCACTGTGACAAGAAATTCAACCAGGTGGGTTGGGTGGGGGGGAAGAGCCGGACCCACGGGGGTTCGGGTCCCTCCGGAGGGAGATGGGGGTGATGGTGGGGGGGCTCTCCGTATCCCTCTCTCTGTGCCCAGGGGGGGAACTTGAAGGCTCACTTGAAGATTCACATCGCGGACGGGCCCCTGAAGTGTCGGGAGTGCGGCAAACAGTTCACCACTTCAGGTAGCACGGGGTTGGTAGGTGGTGAGGTCCGAGTGACGGAGGTTTGGCTGGGTCGGGGGGGGGCAGGGACTGCTCCGGGGACGGATCGGAGCCGCAGGAAGGATTTCATCCTGGGCGTGGGAGGGTTTAGACCTCTTACTGTGGTGCCATGGCCGTGGTGCATAGATTTCTCCCCCTCTGTGGGGCCGGGATGGCATCCCCCATGGGATTGCACCGGGAAATGCTCCTGGAAGGAGCCCTTCATCCAGCTTTTGGGGATGAGGACATCTCCTCCCCTCTCCCCAAACTGCCCCAGAGCCGGAGGGGTCAGGATGAGCCCTATGGAGTCTCTCTGTCCTCTCAAAAGCTGGGTGCTTGTTCTGACTGTCCCTGCCGCCTCGTTACTGCCTGCTCCTTCTGGGCGAGGTGTGGCTGGCTTCCCTCGATCCCTGCCCCATCCCTGCTCCGTAAATAACGATGGGCTTTCCTGAGGGAGCTGCCGGGGTGCTGGGAAGGAGGGAGGGAGGGTGTCGGTGTCCCCGTGGCCCCCAGCTGAGCCTCGTCCGCTCTCAGGGAACCTGAAACGGCACCTCCGGATCCACAGCGGGGAGAAACCCTACGTCTGCGTCCACTGCCAGCGCCAATTCGCCGACCCCGGGGCTCTGCAGCGACACGTCCGCATCCACACCGGTAGGGAGACAGCTCTGCTCTTTTCCCAAGGGATTTTGGGGGAACCTCGTGCTCTCCATCCCCAGATTGCTGACCCCCACACGTCTTTCCCTTTTTCTCCCCCAGGAGAGAAGCCGTGCCAGTGCTTGATCTGCGGTAAAGCCTTCACCCAAGCGAGCTCACTCATCGCCCACGTGCGCCAGCACACGGGGGAGAAGCCCTACGTCTGCGAGCGCTGCGGCAAGAGGTGAGGGTTCACCCCTTCAATTTTAGGGGTCATCTCTGCCCCCCTTCAATTGTAGGGGGCATCTCTGCCCACCCTCCATGGCTGGGTGCCGTGGAGGGTGAGCGGAGGTGCAAGGGTGTAATCGTGGGGGACAGGGATGGGGGTGACCACCGTGTGTCCCTCCCAGGTTCGTGCAATCGAGCCAACTGGCCAACCACATCCGTCACCACGATAATATCCGACCCCACAAATGCACCGTCTGCAACAAAGCCTTCGTCAACGTGGGCGATCTCTCCAAACACATCATTATCCACACCGGTGGGTATCGCGAGGGCTCTCCGACAGCCCCCCTAAATCTTTAACCACCTCCCAAATCTTGAACCACCCCCCAAATTCCTCATCTCGTCACCAGGGGAGAAGCCGTTCCTGTGCGATAAATGCGGCCGGGGCTTCAACCGAGTGGACAACCTGCGTTCCCACGTGAAGACGGTGCAGCAGGGCAAGGCGGGTATCAAAAGCCTCGAGCCGGAGGACGGCGATGAGGTCAACATCGTCACGGTGGCTTCCGATGACATGGTGACACTGGCCACCGAGGCGCTGGCTGCCACCGCTGTCACGCAGCTCACGGGTGAGCTGGGGGCTCCTGAGAACCGTCCCGAAAGGGAGACTTATCCACAGGGTGCAGCTTGGGGGTCCCAAAAGCCATCCCAGAGGACCCTGGAGACTCATCCATGGGGTGCAACACCCTTCACTGTGGCCTGAGGCTGGGA